AGCCCAGGGTGGGTGGATCACCTGAGGTCAGGAGTTTTGAGACCAGCCTGGCCGACATGGTGAAACCCCATCTCTACTAAAAATACAAAAATTAGCTGGATGTGGTGGCGCATGCCTGTAATCCCAGCTACTGAGGAGGCTTAAAGGATGAGAATTGCTTGAATCCTGTAGGTGGAGGTTGTGGTGAGCCAAGATAGCGCCACTGTACTCCAGCCTGGGTGACAGATGGCCAACATGGTGAAACCCCATATCTACTAAAAATACAAAAAGATTAGCCAGGTGTGGTGGCAGGTGCCTGTAATCCCAGCTACTTGGGAGGCTGAGGCAGGACAATTGCTTGAACCCGGGAGTCGGAGGTTGCAGTGAGCCAAGATTGCACCACTGCACTCCAGCCTGGGCTACAGAGCAGACTCCATCTTAAAAAAAAAAAAAAAAAAAAAAAAAAATTATGGGGACATGAAAGGACACAGGAGGCGTTTCAATGGCCAAATCTGGGACAAGTTGAAAAAAAAAATACTATAATGAATAATCATTTCATGAAATGGTAATGAATAATAACCCATCGATGATAAATATCCATGAGTCTATATGGATGTAAATAAATAAATAAGTAAATGGAGGAAAAGGGACAGCTCTTCCTTTCAGAAGAATTCCATTAATAAGTGTAGAAAGAAACACCATAGTCATAATAATTTCAAGCAAGAAGCATCAATGGATGATACAACTAGTGGGCAAAATATGATGAAAAACAGAATATTTATATATTCCTAGGGTTATCTTGCTACAAGATTCTCATTCATTTCAAAGGGAAAAATACTAACTTTACAATGAATGAATCTAGTAGACACCACCTTAGTGAAGTAATTAAAGTTAACATCACCAACAGCAAGACAAGTTGACATAATGTGTCTCCTGGTAGGATGCACAGTATCATGATTGTGGTATTCTTCCCAAAATGCATTAGCAGAACTTAATCACAAAGAAAATTCAGAAAAGCTCAAGTTAAGGTACATTCTGNGAGCACAGTATCATGATTGTGGTATTCTTCCCAAAATGCATTAGCAGAACTTAATCACAAAGAAAATTCAGAAAAGCTCAAGTTAAGGTACATTCTGAATAACTCTCCAGTGCTCTTCAAGTGTCAAAGTCTTGAATGTTAAAAGAAGGATGAAGGAACCATCCAAAATTAAACTAAGAAGACATGACAATTTAATGCAATGTGGGATCTTGTTTTGAAAGAAATAAAAAAAGAACCCGACTAGTGGCACAATTAATACAATTTAAATAAACTTTTTAGATAACAGTATTGTATCAAATGTAATTTTCTGTATAATTATAATGTGATTAAAATTGTTAACATTTGGAGAAGCTGAGTAAAGAATATATGGGAACTCCTTGTATTCCTTTTGTATCTTTTATTCTAAGTCTGAAATTATTTTAAAATGTAAAGTTTAGAATTACGCAAAAGGCCAGGCGTGATGGCTCACGCCTATAATCCCAGCACTTTGGGAGGCCAAGACAGGTGGATCGCTTGTCAGGAGTTCGAGACCAGCCTGGCCAACATGGTGAAACTCCCATCTCTACTAAAAACACACACAAAAAAAGAATATTAGCCGAGCATGTAGCCTGTGGTTCCAGCTACTTGGAAGGCTGAGGCAGCATTGCTTAAACCCAGGAGATAGAGGTTGCAGTTAACTGAGATCACGTCACTGAACTCCAGTCTGGATGAGAGTGAGACTCCATCTCAAAAAATAAAACAATGCAAAAGACTTGTAATGAACTGTTCTGTTATTCAAATCCAGCAAGCTTGTCAAAAAGCAAACAAACAGGCTTGAGAAGAAGGTAGGGCTAGATCATGTAGGAACTTGGTAGCCATGTTAAGGGATTTAGGCTTTGTATTTTAGGAGCAGTGAGAAACCACTGAAGAAGAGGGTGGGGCGTGGGGTCAGTACATCTGTGAGGGCTCCAACAGGAAAGAGATGGCATGCTCAAAATAGGTAATTTGAGAGAGATTTGTTTACATAGAGATTGTGTAAATGATACTCCTGACTTCTGAATCCTAACATTATCAAAAATAGGAAGTTATCTAAGCTTACAGTTGTAGTAACATTGACACTTTCACTTGATAACACTCAGGGATAATTTAAGGAATGGATGCTGACAATTCTAGTGCCTCATGTAAGATGTAAAATAAAAGAAAGATTTTTGTTGTCATGTTTTACCATGAGGAAATATGTAGAATATGCACATGATGTTTTACTGATTTTATTTATTAGATTGCTAGTTTCTGATCTTGCCAGAAAGCTTCTCTAGGTTCTACAGGTGTCTTGTGTGTGTGCTGGGTGACAGCTCTTATGGTTCCTCACAGATGTTTTCAAAAAAGCTATACCACTTGACTTCTCTCTTGTTGCCACCTGCCTTGCCTTGTGACTCTTCCTTCTGTCATTCATTATTTTTTTTCCCATTTATTTATTTTATTGCATTTTAGGTTTTGGGGTACTTGCGAAGAACATGCAAGATTGTTGCATAGGTACACACATGGCAGTGTGATTTGCTGCCTTCCTCCCCATCACCTACATCTGGCATCTCTCCCCTTGCTATCTCTCCCCAACTCCCCACAGAGTTCTTTGTTTTTTATTGACACCTGATATTTTACATGTTTATGGAGTACATATGAGTATTTGTTACACGTGTGGAATGAGTAATAACCAAGCCAGGGTAATCTGGACTATCCATCACCATGCATGTATGCATGTTTCTCATTTTTGGGTGTTGTTATCATTTCCAGTCTTCTCTTCCAGTTACTTTGCAATATGCATACTAGTATTGCTGCATATGATCACCCTAGTCAAACATTAGGATTGTGCTGCAAGTTTTGATCTCATAGTGCACATAGCTCTGGGAGCCAACCTTAAATGTCTAGGAGTTTTTATAATTAGTAGCCCCACTGAGCAATTTGACTGCCTTCATGAGGACTAAGTGAGTCATCTACTTGTGTAGGTAGAGTATGCATATTCATTCAGGTCAGCTCTCAGTTTCCCACAGCTGTTCCTCTGACCCCAAATCAAAATCCCAAGCAAATTCACCTTCCTGCTTTCTCCAGCCTTGTTCTTTTTCTTCCTAAGACAGATCTACAGTCTTTTGCTGGACTATCAGCCCTAAAGTTTCCATCATTATTTATTGCAGGGGACTCTTGTGTCCCCAGGGTTCCTAAGGGAAGTTTTGCATATTAAAGTCCCTACTATAACCCTAACTGCTACATTCCTGGTTTTCAAAAATAGGTGGTTCTCAAAATTAGAACTTTTCGGCTGGGTAATCCTCACTTTACAAATACAGATTTAAGAAAATTGTAGTGTCTTTTTAAAGTCGATTTCTTCTGGAATATGATTGAAGTTGGCCTGCAAGATCAAATTAGATTAGGCACAGAGGCAAGATATATTTTCATCTATTAATTCCATAGGAATTAACAGAGGTTGCAGTGAGCCAAGATCGCACTATTGTTCTCCAGCCTGGGTGACAGAGTAAGTTTCTGTCTCAACAATAACAACAACAAAAATTTAGTTATGAAAACTTCCTTTTTCAGCTAACATTTTTATAATTAAAAGGATTAACTTGAAATATGCTTTTATGCCTCTGGAAGTACATGAGTCTCTGGCTTTTTCTGAAAATTTAGATGCTGCATAAGGACATACGTAGAATGTGTTGGCCGAATGTGACAACACAGATGGACAGTGTGTGGCCCATGTAGAGGTCAGCTTTTACTTTCTGCTTTTTCCACTTTTCAGTTCATAGGTTTTTTATATTCCTTTGTCAATGTCTTGTTGGTTTAGGCTCCTTGGGCAAACACTTCCCAACTATCTTAGATTATTGTTTTTTTCAGTGGCATTTTAGGGGAAGAAAGTGAAGAATTGGAAGAAAAACTTTAACTTCAGTTGCCAGTGACTAATTAGGGGACTAAAAATTAGGAGTTTCCATTGGACTTCATCTGAAAGTTCGATTCTTTGTTTTCTAGAAGCTTTCTTGCCGGGTCCTACAGGCAGACCCTGACCCAGCAACGGATGAACAAATACACTCAGACACAAATATCTAGTGGAAGAGTGGACTAGGGGTCCAGGCCACTCACAGACACCGAGAAGGGTCTGGTAAACAGTTAGCAGCTGTGGCCCTGACCAGCTGGCACTCCGGGAATTTATTCAGTATAGATTTAGTGACAGAGGCTCTGAGTCAACACACTTGTGGATAATGATTAAAGGCCAGGTTACAAGGCTTAAAGCAAACACCATTTGTGAGTAATAACATTGTTGACCCCTTGAGTAGAGGGCAGTCATGCACCTGTGGATGTTCAAAGGTTGGCCTTAGAACCACATTAGTAAACAAGCTCTTTAGGTAAACTCCCTTACATTCCTTTCTGCCTAATTGCCTCTGGGTTAAGAACCACTGCCTTCAACTTATTGCTTTCCTGAGGCTTTTGCAAAAAACCTTCTGGCCTTCCAAGAAGATTTGCTTCAATTTCAAAATTTTTTCCCACCACCCTGAGTGAACCCCTACATCTACTTAGTAAATAAAGCCTTCTCACTCTATCTGTTGGAAAAAGAGGCGTTAGTATTAAAGATTAATCTAAGAAATATGTAATGGAATTGATTCAAAAGCAGTGCCCCAAACAAAATCCATTTACTGTAGAAAGAGGTGCCTAATTTTCACTGTTGTTAAATACATACATTGTTAAGTACTAGAAATTCAAGATGATTCAGTAATAACTACTTCAAGGTAATGCAGTAATAACGGCATATCACATATTTGGGAAGTTAAAATATATTTTTTTCTTTAAATTTTACTTTGTTGGAAAGCAAATGAGTTGTTAAATATGCAGAATGTATATATATATATATATATATATATATATATATATATATATAATTTGTGAGATGAAATGAATATGCATACCCTAGTTATACAACAAAGGTTGAGAAACTTAAACTCCTAGATCACACAATAATAACCTTGACAAAACTTTTATTCATAGAATCCCTTGAAAGCAGCTACTAGATGAAATAACAAAAACTTTTTTCCAAGGTTTTAGCCCTTTTTATTGACCTTCTTTTCTTCACGATTCTCTCTCAAAGGATAAATTGTACATTTCTTATATTTGTAAACATCAGATATCCAAGCCATATTACTACAATCCTCAGGAACAATTCATTTCTTCAGCTCTTCATGCACAGCTGGATTGGTGCAGGCAGTAGCTTGGAGCTCCTCTGTTTCTCTCTTTAAAACAAACTCAGCTGACATTGGGTGTTCCTGGACCCTGGATTTTACAGCATGAGCTACATAGTTAAGGCTGGTATTTTCAGTCCAATGCCAGTAACCTGAGAAGGGGTTATACAGCATTCCTACCACTGTTTGAACTGACAGACCATCTGAAAAAAAATATCAGAAAGAGTAGATTTAACAAATATTTACCTTCTAATTTCCAAGAGTCTCATGCAACTCTCTGTATTAAAAATGCTGGGAGGACACTAAATGGATAAGAAAAGAAGGAAAAAAAGATTCCTAACTTAATCGGCAAACATATTTTGTAACTATGTGCTAATCACAATTTACTGCAGAACTGCAGTCAGTCACAATTAGAACACATACTCTAAAGCAGTGTGTCTGGATTCAAATCCCAGTTCAGGCACCTATTATATGGTGACTGTGGGCAAGTCACTTAACTTTTCTAAACCTCAGTTTTCTTACATGTAAGAACTTGCATCATAGAATTGTTAGAATTAGATGAGCTATGTGTGTAAACTAGTGCAATGCTTGGAGTTTGGTAAGTATTCAATAAATGTTAGCTGTTATTAAAAACACCTGCCAATAGGAGATCGTCCCCATAACTCATCTTTAAAACATTTTTTTCCTACTTCCCTCCCTCCTTCTTTTCTTTTCTTTTTTGAGACAGAGTTTCATTATGTCGCCCAGGCTGGAACACAGTGGCACAATCTTGGCTCACTGCAACCTCCATCTCCTGAATTCAAGTGATTCTCCTGCTTCAGCCTCTCAAGTAGCTGGATTACAGGCATGTGCCATTGTGTCCAGCTAATTTTTGTATTTTTAGTAGAGACGGGTTTTGCCACATTGACCAGGCAGGTCTCAAAATTCTGACTTCAAATAATCTGCCTGCCTCAGCCTCCCAAAATGCTGGGATTACAGGCATGAGCCACTGTGCACAGCCTTACTTTATTTTCAACAAAGTTACTCACAGAAATCTTTATACTCTACTACAATGCTATGTACTGATAATATTGCAAGTAAAATCAAGTTTATTGATAATTATATGAAAAAAATTAGAAATATAGGAATCTAAGTACTCAACAGAAATACCAAATGCCAAGTAAATGAACTGACAAACATTATTACTTGACAGGAATTCATGACATAAATTGACTCTGAGTAAAGCAGAGCTAGGCATTGTAGTGAGTACAAAAAGGAGACATAGTCTTGCCTTCGAGAAGTTTACAGGCCTTAAAAGGATGAAAAAAACACCAAAATTACCATAAAGTCATGCTGTAAGTCATATGACATACATAAAAAGTGACACTGAAGTTCGAAATACATGTAACTGTGGTGGAATCAGGAAAAATAATATGTAAGATAAGCTGATACAAGCTGAGCTCAACAGGGCAGACTGAGAATGTGTAAATAGTAGACATCTGTACCTCATTCTTAAACAAGTGAGACTAAATAGCCAAAAAGTATTCACTGATCATGTGTTACCTGCTTGGCCCTGGGTTGGGGGCAACAGGTAAAAGGGAAGTGGTATCTATTACTTAATCCTAACATCAAAGGGTTTATGACCTAGTTGAGGAGATAAAACCAACATCCAAAAATATAGCGGCCTATTTTATTAAGTGCTAGGCTAAGTGATTTATGATTACTGGGACATTAAAAGTTCAGTTAGGCCTGGAAAACTGGAAAAAATGCTCTTAATACTTACTTGATTCCAGAATGCTCTCTAGTGTTTCAGGTGAAACAAACTTCTCCCATGTATGAGTACCTTTTGGTACAATACCTGCAATTTGCTCTGAAAAAACAATTCCCAAAGCATAGGAAAGTTGTGTTTTGTTGATTGTAGTAATGAATAAAGAACCACCAGGCTAAAAGAAATGAAATTATATAGAAGTAAAATGTAAAAGGTTAGGTGTATCAATTAAGGGTAAGTTTCCCCCTCCCTCCTCCTTTCTTCCAAATAATCTGAGTGTCATTAAGATATATATGTTTGAATAAAATATAATTCACCAAAATACTACTTTTTTCTCTTGGGAAATTCACTATAAAAGGCACTTTAGATGTTCTCAGTGAGTATGTACAACAGTGCTTACAACTCTTAAGATCATACATAATTATGATTTATATTTATACATTCTTTTGTATATATCACTTTATGATAAAATGCAGAATGAGATCAGGCTGCTTTTCCTTGTTACGTGTCCACATTCACAGTCTAACATATGTCAAAATGGTTTTCACAGTAAGGGCTGAGCCTGTTTTGACTCGTTTGTTACAGCACAGAGCTATACTGTACATCTTATGCAGGGAAGCACTAACAATAAGTGTTCTCTGACTAAAACATTAATGATTAGGTTTGAACGTTTTTTGTTTTGTTTTGATTTCATTTTTATAAAAAATATAAAGACTGACCTGCCATGGTGGCTTACACCTGTATTCCCAGCACTCTGGGAGGCTAAGGCAGGGAGATCACTTGAGATCAAGAGTTTGAGACCAGCCTGGCCAACATGGTGAAACCCCCTGTCTCTACTAAAAGTATAAAAATTAGCTGGGCATGGTGGCACGTGCCTGTATTCCCAGCTACTCAGAAGCTGAGGCAAGAGAATCACTGGAACACGGGAAGTGGAGGTTCTGTCTCTCTCTCTCTCATTATTTACAAATTTATGGGATTTATAAATAGTCCCATAAATACATTCATTCCAGAACAAGATAAGCACTGGAATGAATATAAAGGATTTATGGGACTATTTATGGGACTATTCAGTCTGCAATTTTATTTGATTTATGGGACTATTTATGGGACTATTCAGTCTGCAATTTTATTTCATTTTATTATTTTTTGAGACAAAGTCTTGCTCTGTCGTCCAGACTAGAGTGTAGTGGCGTGATCCTGGCTCACTTCAACCTCTACCTCCTGGGTTCAAACAATTCTCTTGCCTCAGCCTCCTGAGCAGCTGGGATTGCAGATGCCTGCCACTGCACCTGGCTGATTTTTGTACTTTTAGTAGAAATGGGATTTCACCATGTTAGCCAGGCTGGTATCAAACTCTTGACCTCGTGATCCACCTGCCTTGGCCTCCCAAAGCGCTGGGATTACAGGCGTGAGCCAGCATGCCTGGACTCAGTCTGGCATTTTATAGTAACTATATTGATGGCGTTTCCTTATGTTGTCTCACAATGGCAAGGATATTAATGTCTCCCCTCTCTTTTATACATTGTCATTAGCTTGACTGGAGAAAAATGCCAAAGATTCCCTCCAAAACAATCATATTACATATAGATAGAAAGAGAGAAAGAAAAGGGGATTGGGAGAAAGAGATAATATATCTTAGATACCACTGTAAGCCAAAACCAAAAAAGATAAGGTGGGGGGCCCTGAAATATTGGGGTATGCCTTCAAAAACAAAAATATCATATACTATATTAGCACACATTTTAACTTTCCTCTATAAAGCTCCGGTATTCTAAAATATCTTTTTTTTTCCTTTAGTGGCGTGAGCTATAAACTCTAAAATTCTAAAATATCTTAAGAATCACTTACAGGCCAGGCATGGTGGCTCACGCCTATAATTCTAGTGCTGAGGCAGGAGGACAGCTTGAGGCCAGGAGTTCAAGATTAGCCTGGTCAACATAGCTACAAAAAATTTATTGAAAAAAACTGTCAGGCATGGTGGTGTGCACCTGTAGACATAGCTGCTTGGGAGGCTGAGGCAGGAAGATCACTTGAGCCCAGGAGTTTGAGGTTATAGTGAGCTATGATAGTGCCACTGCACTCCAGCCTGGGTGACAGGGGAAGGACCCTGTCTCTGAAAAAAAAAATTACTTATGAATATCTAATCTGTGTTCTACAAAATCATACTCTAAGGAAATGATGGTAAGCAATAGTCATTTTTAAAATATAGGTTTTCCATTAAAGCAAAAATTAGTTTTGGAGCCCACAATGCCAGCATCCCTCATACGTGTCAAAGAAGCACCATTCATACACACTGACTGACATACAAAATAAGAATTAATAATCAATTAAGAAATCTTATTTGGAAAATAAGAGATAAGCCTAATAAAACTCCACTTAAGAGGAAACAAGGGCTAGGCACAGTAGCTCACACCTGTAATCCTAGCACTTGGGGAGGCTGAAGCGGCAGGATCCCTTGAACCCAGCATTTTGAGACCAGCCTGGGCAACATAGGGAGACCCTGTCTCTACAAAAAAGTCATAAAATATCAAATTAAAAATTAAAATTAGCCAGACATGGTGACATACACCTGTGGTCCCAGCTACTTGGGGTGCTGAGATAGGAGCATGGCTTGAGCCCAGGAAATGGCTGCAGTGAGCTGTGATCTTGCCAGTGCCCTCCAGCCTGGGTGACAGAGTAAGACCTTGTCAAGAAAAAAAAAGAGGAAAAGAAACTGATATTAGCAAACTGATATTAGCAAAAATAAATTAATAAAATTTAACAAGCTCTAACAGCAAACTGATATTAGCAAAAATAAATTAATAAAATTTAACAAGCTCTGCAGTACAGTTAACAAGTATAATGTTGATGTTAATTTCTTAGTTTTGAGAACTGTACCATGGGTTATATAAAGGGCTAGGACTATGAGGCAAGTGAGGCTTCTAGGGCACAGAATTGAAATAGGCAACCCCTTTCAGGGTGTGCAAGCGCAGGGTCAGCACCTGAGAGGGACTGTCTCCTACAATTTTGTGCCCTAAGTGCCTCACTTGACTCAACCTAGCTTCTACCCTTATGATGTGAGATGTTAACCTAAGGGGAAGACAGGTGAAAGGAACACCGTACTATCTTTGCAATTTTGCTATGAATTTAAAATTACTTAAAAATAATTTTTTTAAAAAAGCTCTGTTTTGCTAAGAGCTAAGCATTTCATTGTTTTATCTTTGACCTTAGGATGTCACCTCCTGAGTGTGTGAACAACGGAGTCAGTGTAGTAATAATAATAATGCTTTAAGGGCATTTATTAAAAGAAAACTTAGAACCACATTCAAAAGATGAAGTCTATGGCAAATTATACATATAAGCATAATAAGTAATGGAGAGAACCAAACTTGCAGTCAAATGGTCTGGCCTTAACTCCCACTTAAATGGCTAGTGACCTCTGACATCTCACAAATCCTGAGTCCTCACAGGTGAAAGGATGTGATAACAACACCTGCCTTTCCTTCCTTATCTAGTTGTAGGTAAGATCGAGTGAGAACATATTTATGAAGTATTCTTTAAAAGCTAAAAACTGTTATGCATTTACCACATACAGAATTACATATCTTATTTAATTAAATTTATGCTAATACTTTTTATTGATTTTTAAGTATTCATCCAAATCAATTTTTTTAATTGTCATTCAATATCTATTAAGTATTTAATCCCAACTATACCAATGGAAAAATACTGCTATAAATGTATGGTTTTCCAATGTTCAGCACCAATATTTTTCTTTTCTTTTTGGAGACAGGGTTTCACTCAGTTCCCCAGGCTGGAGTGCACTGGCGTGATCTCGTCTCACTGCAACCTCCACCTGCTGGGTTCAGTGATTCTTGTGCCTCAGCCTCCCGAGTAGCTGGGATTACAGGCATACACCACTATGTTCAGCCAATTTTTGGTATTTTTAGTAGAGACAGGGTTTCACCATGTTAGCAAGGCTAATCTTGAACTCCTGGCCTCAAGTGATCTGCCTGCCTTGGTCTCCCAAAGTGCTGGGATTACAGGTGTAAGCCACCATGTCCAGCCAGCACCAACATTTTTCAAGATCCCTGGACATCCAAGATACTAAAAGAACACAGGAAAACCCTGGTAGTGAGGGCAAGCTGAAGGACAGTAGAAATCTACAGCAGAGATGCTGCCCCCTTCTCCCAGCTTCCTGGTTTCATCTCTACTATACCTTGCCTGCTGGACTGCTAATGCATTATGGACCATTTTATTGCTATGGATACATATACACACACTCAGAAGAAGAAGTCAAGATGTAAACTCCATAAACCTTACTTTTAACACTTGACAGCAGCACTGTAAAAATGTTTCTATATCAATCACATGTTCTACAACTTCAGAAGCTACAACAGCATCAAATGTTTCTGCAGTCTCTTCCACAATCTCTTCCAGAGAACACACTCTGTACTCTATCCTCTTATCCAGGACTGGATCAAATGATTTATGGCATCGTGCTGTTTTAATGTTCTCATCCACAGGATCGATTCCAATAACTGAAGCCCCAAGTCGCCCTAGAGGCTAATGGCATAAAAAACTGTTACCCTCAGGAAGAAAATAGAACACATGTTAGCAATAAAAAACTTACCAAAAATGAAACAACATTAACCATGAGGTGATAAATACTAGACATCATTTATGGGTACATGGAAATTCATATACCATTTTCTTTAGTTTGTACACATTTGAAATTTTCGATAATCAAACCCTTAAAGGTAAGAAGAACAATTAAAACAACAAAAACTGATTTAAAAAAAACTACTTGAAGACAGTGAAAACAATTTTGTCTATGTATTCTAGGCACATTTACTTGTACATAGTACAGTATTAACACAGTTAAAGTGCAATAACGTAATAAGTCACTGTAAAAACAGCAATCATTTCTGAAATATTCAAATTGTTTAAAGAACAATCTTTTCCCAAGTTTTTTTATCTGACTGACTAGAAATGACTTTTTCATAGCTAATTCTTCTCTCAGGTTTTGTATTTAGTTATTTCCCATGACATGTCCAAGTTTTTAAACACAGGTTGGCCAGGTATGGTGGCTCCTGACTGTAATCCTAACACTTTGGGAGGCTGAAGCGTGTAGATCACCTGAGGTCAGGAGTTTGAGACCAGACTGGCCAACACGGCGAAACCTCGTCTCTACTAAAAATACAAAAAATTATCCAGAGGTTGTGGTGAGTGCCTGTAATTCCAGCTAGTTGGGAGGCTGAGGCAGGAGAATCACTTGAACCTAGAGGTAGAGACTGCGGTGAGCTGAGATCATGCCATTGCACTCCAGCCTGGGCAGAGTAAAACACTGTCTCAAAAAAAAAAAAAGATTACAATCAACATTATGTATTTTTTTTTTTTTTTTTTTGAGACACAGTCTTGCTCTGTTGCCCAGGCTGGAGTGCAATGGCACAATCTCGACTCACTGCAAGCCACCGCTTCCTGGATTCAAGTGATACTCCTGCCTCAGCTTCCCGAGTAGCAGGGATTACAGATGCCTGCCACCACACCTGGCTAATTTCTATGTTTTCAGTGGAGATGGGTTTTGCCATGTTGGCCAGGTTGGTCTCAAACTCCTGACCTCATGCAATCCACCCACCCCGGGCTCCCAATATGCATTTCTTTTTTTAATGAATAATATTATTTGTTGAACGGATAAATGAGGCACAAATCTACTTCTTAATATTTTTCTGTCAGTTAAAAATGGCAGGAAAACTGTCACTTACTTCAGTTAACAGCCCACCACCACAGCCAACATCAAGAATCTTCATCCCAGACAAAGGTTTTCCTGGCTGGTGATTAGGAATTGTTTTCAGAAGATGGTCTCTTTAAAAAATTCAAAACATACCAAAATAAATAATTAATTTTATCAATGAAAAGTCTTAAATGTATGTAGTTTTCAAGGAAATATTAACTCCCATTTAAATAGATTATTTATATTTTTGGATAAACAGGTCTTTTATTTTCAACATTAAGTGATAATTTATAAAACATTTTCAATAATCAAAAGCAGGAGGCTTAAAGGTCTGAAATAATCTAGTAGTAATTATGACTTAATTATTGTTTTAGTAATAAGATAAAGGAAAAATTTCAAAATAATTTAGTTTAGATTAACCTAATTTCAGTTGCTTGAGATAGCATGACATGTTTTGGCTTTGCTGTCAATACTTGCTAGACCTATTTCATGTCAGTAGCAAAGAGGTTATTTCACAGAGCTTAGGAAAAGCAGATAAGAGACCTATATTTTCAAAATTTGTCTATATTCCCTTCGAAATGGAATCTCTTTTAATCTTCTAAATGAGTGGTGTTTTCATGTATGAGCATGTATGAACAGGCATCTAAATCAAGTAAACTTAATTCTAAGATAATCACAATAATACTTTACCTATACAAACATATGCATACACACATATACATACAAGAATATATACATACCTAACAGTATGTAAACTAAACATATAAATATATATAGATTACATATAAGCTTTAATTATACCTAAAATATTATTCATAATTAGGATATCTTGAGATATCTTCTATTGCCATTAAAATTAACTGAATTCTAAGAATAACAAGGATAGTGGAAAGGACCCATTTCAAATGAAGTCCGATCCATTCTTTAAACAGCAGCTAAAATGACTTCTTTACATCATAATTTAGATTATACCACTTTCCTTCGATGGCTTCTAATTATGCTCAAAATGAAATCTAAACTTTTAACCATACCTTGCACTGCCCTGGGTTATTATGTATGATGTTTAATTAAAGATGTCACAGTAGTTTGAATAGATTAATTCTCAAACTTACTATGCATCAGAATCACCAAAAAACTTTACTTAAAACAGAGTGCTGTCCCCTCCCCAGAGAAGTAGGTCCCTTATGAGATCTGATAATTTGCATTTCTAATGAGTTCCTAGGTGAACTGATGTCACTGTCGAAGGCCTACACTTTGAGAACTAGTGTTCTAGCTTATATGAACAACATTTCTCTTTTTCTTTGCTTTACTGTTTGTTGCAGTGGTCCACAAAGTCAGTGGTATTAAAGCATGCCAGTATTTCTCTTTTTGCTACACTGATTCTGGATGAACCAGCAAAAACCAACCAGGAAGTTCCTTGAGGGCAAAGTCTGAGTCAGATATTCTGTGTCTGTTAAAATGCTTTGCCCAAAATTGTTTGATGAATACACAAATGGACAGAAGAACAAATGAACAATGTCTTAAATGTAAGCCCTGATGAACTCTTGCCTTTCTTTAAATCCCACAGCACCCTATAAATTCCCAAACCACATAGATTATGTTTCATCCATCTTAGAATCTTTTACAGTCTAGCCCCTGAGCTCTGTATGAGGTAAGTTCTCAGAAAAATTTGTTGAATCAAACTTTCACAGCAGAATTCCCTTTACCAGAACTGCCTAAATCAATGAGGCCACTGCAGGTCTACAGGCATAAAATGGCCTTAGGCCAGGCATGGTGGCTAATGTCTGTAATCCCAGCACTTGGGGAAGCTGAGGTGGGTGGATCACCTGAGGTCAGGAGTTTAAGATCAGCCTGGCCAACACAGTGAAACTCTGCGTCTACTAAAACTACAAAAATTAGCTGGGCATGGTGGTGGATGCCTGTAATCCCAACTACTTGGGAGGCTGAGGCAGGAGAATTGCTTGAACCCAGGAGGTGGAGGTTGCAGTGAGCTGAGATCTCGCCATTGCACTCCAGCCTGGGTGACAAGAGCGAGACTGCATCTCAAAAATAAATAAATAAATAAATAAATGAAAAATAAAATAAAGAAAATAAAATGTGCTTGAAGCCATAAGACCCTAGTTTGCTTTTATAGGGACTTAATTCTAATTGACTTGACAATGCACAAATATGCTTCAAATTAAGCTATGAAAGCAGCCTGGACCTTGGGTGATATTATTAAAAATTAATAGTTTCAAACAGTGGTCACTGAAAAGAATCTCTCTAATTTCCAAAGCAAACTTAAAGTGCAGCATTTTTAACTAGGTATAAACCAAAACAAAAATGAATGTAAAATATGAATTCTTAAAAAGTTCCATTTAAAAAGACTTAGAGTTTCTGGAATGCTACCTAATAAATGGCACCCTCAGGTCATTCATGGAATGAAGAGGTCCATATACTCCTTGCTCATCCCACCATTTGTGAGCCAGGGCCACGAAGGTTTTCACCTCACCGCTGTCGACAGTGGTTTGGGAAGTACTGTACAGTTTCACCCAAGGGTACCTATGGGGCGAAAATGAAGAACCAGCAAATACCACTGTTTTGAAGAAAAGTTTAACATGCGATATATTATATAGAAACATAGTCTTATTTACAATTTATTATATTCTAAATCTGTACATTGCTTAATATTGACACTTTAAAGCCAAGTTTTCCTATAATCACACTGCTTACAAACATATATATTCACAGATGAAACAAAATTACTTTCCAAGTAAGTTTCAATTCAAAATGGAACTTTATAAAACTTAGCCTTCTTGGTCATATCTAATAATAATAATAATAGCTACAATTTATTGAACACTTATTAAATTCAGGTACTGTTTAAGAACTCCACATATATCACCTCACTTAATCCTTCCAATGACTCTGCAAGATGGGTACTATTATTATCCCTATTTTACAGATAAGAAAAGGGAGGCTCAGAAAGATTAAGTAAATGGTGGAGCCGGGATTTGAATGCAGGTGCCTCCAACTTCTCTGCTTCATTTCTACTGCCAGCATTCTAACCCAGGCACCCATCGTCTTTTGCCTGAATTAGCCTTCTAACTAGTAGCTGCTTCCTACCTCATCCCGTTTCAATCTGTTCTCCATGATGCATCTAGAGTGATTGTTCCAAAATGGAAATCTGATGGTTATTTTCCTGAATAAAATGCTTCCATATCTTCCCAACGACATTAGAAAAAAAGACCAAAATCCTTAGTATAGTTTACAAAGTTCTGAATTATTTAGTGCCCAGTTTCCTCCCTCTCCAAACTCATTTCCTTCTATTCTCGTTATCATTCCCACTCCAACCACATGGGTTCTTTTTCAGTTCTTTGGACTGGCTGCACAGGCTCTTTCCTCAGGCACTTCACGTAGGTTGTCCCTCTGCCTGGAACATTCCCACCTCCTTCCTTTCCTCTCCCAAACACCTAATTAATTCCTTCTCATCCTTCAGATCTTAGTTTCAATGGAATGTTATCTAAGAATTTTCCCTGATCTGCTGTGCATGGGTGGCTCACATCTGTAATCCTAGCATTTTGGGAGGCTGAGGCAGGTGGATCACCTGAGGTCAGGAGTTTAAGACCATCCTGGCCAATATGGTGAAACCCGTCTCTACTAAAGATACAAAAATTAGCCAGGCATGGTGGTGGGTACCTGTAATCTCAGCTACTTGGGAGGCTGAGGCATGAGAATCACTTGAACCAGGGAGGTAGAGGCTGCAGTGAGTTGAGATCATGCCACTGCACTCCAGCCAGGGTGACAGAACAAGAGTCTGTCTCAAAAAAAAAAAAAAAAAAAAAAACTTCCTTGATCTTCAAAACTGGGTCATGTTCCCCTCATTCCCCTATTTTAATTCCTATACCACTTTGTACTTCTTCATGGGGCTGTGTGATTATCTGATCATGTCTGTCTTCCAATAGACCACTAGACCACAAGCACTATGAAGGCAAGGCATGGACTGTCTTGCTTACCATTTTATTCTTAGTGACTAGTACAGTTGCTGAAACATGGTGCTCAGGAAGCACTTATCAAATGAACAATCTGAAGGAAAAAGCCCAGAAAAGTATATAATTTTCCTAAAATTTTATTTAATTAAGTGGGATCAAAGAGGGGTTAGATCCCATTTAATTAAACAAAATTTTACACTGACTTCCATGTCATAGGGTATCGTATAGAAAAATCCTTCAAAGGGCTGCTTGGGTAAAAGATAATAAGGATGTTAAGTTAGAAATGTGGTAATGCCATTTAAATTTTTATTAAGTTTTTCTTAGCTACATATGGAGAGTGTATTCTATATTCATTACTTTTTATTCTTTAAAGATTCAAATGTCATTCTTCTTTAATATTATCTTAGGACTATTAGCCCCTTTTTCCAAGCTTAATGTAAAGCCTCAGTAATCAAGGACTAATTTACAATAGATAACAGTAGGTGGTTGCTCATTTGACTAAGAATGATTTCATATACACCCAATCTCAAAGGGGCTCATTTACAAGAAGGAGAAACAAGCACTTAGAAACAGAATTCAAGGCCAGGTATGGTGGCTCACACCTATAATCCCAGAACTTTGGGAGGCCAAGAAGGGCAGATCACTGGAGGTCAGGAGTTCAAGACCAGCCTGGCCAACATGGTGAAACTCCATTTCTACAAAAAATTAGCTGGGCATGGTGGCAGGCTCCTCTAATCCCAGCTACTCAGGAGGCTGAGGCAGGAGAATCGCTTGAACCCAGGAGGCAGAGGTTGCAGTGAGCTGAGATTGTGCCATTGCACTCCAGCCTGGGCAACAAGAGCAAAACTCCATCTTAAAAAAGAAAAAAAAAAAACAGAGTTCAAGTATTAATGCTATGCAATATTCTGACAAGGTTAGAAGTTGGTTTATAAAATACAAATACAGAAAGATATTACTTTGATTCAATTTACTACCTTATCATATTTATGCTGCACCCAAATTACTTATGATTTTAAAAAATTTTTAAATATTATATTATGTATTATAAGTAATATTTATGATTTTAAGCACTGCATTGTTTGTATCTTATAAGGACATTATGAGGAAATAAAAATATTCTCTAAGTAATAGTCCTATATTAAAAATAAAAGCTATCTCTGAATCTGAATGAAGGTAATGTATTGTCTATATACTGTATTATTGTATCACTGTTTCTGTGGGATTGAAACTCCCCAAATCTAAAAATTGTTGGAAAATAAATTAGTTAAGATTAATTAAATAAACATAGCTACTTTAATCAAACCACATGGACTAACTGGATTTATTAAACATAATACTAAAAAACTATTTGCCACAGTAATAATAAACTCACCTAAAATTCTTTATTCTGTTCAAATAGGAAAAGGTTATCCTGCAGGATTTGAACCACATGGTTCTGTATTCATTGAAAACCTCTGGTTTAACTTGTAGAGTCCAACTGAGCTGGTTCTTCGCATAAACTGAAAAAAAAAAAAAAAAAGGAAATATCTAGAGAAAAGCATTGCACAGTAAGAATCCCTGATATGCACGTCATTGAAGGTTTTATTTTATTTTAGACTGTCTCACTCTGCCACCCAGGTTGGAGTGTAATGGCACAATCATGGCTCACCTCCTGACTCAAGCAATCCTCCTGCCTCATCTTCCCAAGTAAGGGGGACTACAGGCGCATGCCACCATGCCCAGCTAATTTCTGTTGTTATTGTTGTTGAGATGGGGTCTCCCTATGTTGCTCAGGCTGGTCTCAAACTCCTTGGCTCAAGACATACTCCTGCCTCAGCCTCCCAAAATGCTGGGATTCACTGCATCTGGACAAAATTTTATTTTATATGGTAATGCTATGTTACGTTACAATTGATAAACAAAGCGTTTTTGTTTTTTACTTAAGATTTTACCTAAAAATTAAAATAAAGGTCTTACATTCTGGTATCTAACTCTAACCCAGACATTTCTAAAATTATAATTAGCAAAACAAGTAATGCATATGTTTATAAAGTTTTTCATGCCATTAGTTCTTACATCTACATTATGTACATAAAATGACAGGAATGATATTCAAATATAAAGTATTATGTTTTAACTAGAATAATATTAATTCTGAAATTATTTGTCAACACTAGTTCAAATTCTGTCAATTCTCTATTAGTTACATGAAATGAATTTTTACATATGCTCAATACCCTTTACAGAGGAAAATAAGATGTGTGTATATGTATCCTAAAATAAACATTCACCCAGTCTATATGCTTAACTTATACAGGGGCCTGCTTTATGAGCCAGTTGCTGTGCTGCAGAACACTTAGTTGTTCAATAAACATTCAGACAAAGTAGACTTTGGAGCAAAGAAAAGTAGCCGAAACAAAAAGGGACATTACATCACAATAAAAGGGATAATATACCAAGAAAGAAAAGCAATACTAAATGTGTATATACCAGCCAGGCAAGTTATCTCACGCCTGTAATACCAGCACTTTGGGAGGCCAAGGTGGAAGGATCACCTGAGGTTAGGAGTTCAGGACCAGCCTGGTCACTATAGTGAAACCCCATCTCTACCAAAAATACAAAAATTAGCCAGGCATGGTGGCATATGCCTGTAATCCCAGCTACCCAGGAGGCTGAGGTAGGAGAATCACTGGAATCCAGGAGATGGAGGCTGCAGTGAGCCGAGATTGAGCCACTGCACTCCAGTCTGGGTGACAGAACAAGACTCTGTCTCAAAAAAAAAAAAAAAAAAGTGTATGCACCAAACAACAGAATTTCAAAACACATAAAGTAAAAACTCATAGAAATGAAATGGAAAATAAATCCACAACTGTAGTTGGAGACTTCAATACTCCTCTCTCAATAACTGCTAGACCCACTGGATAGAAAACCAGCAGGGATAAAGAAGAACTGAACAAGACCATTATTCAATAAAATCTACTTAAAATGTATAAAACACTTCTCCCAAACAACAAAATATATGTTCTTTCAAGCATGCATGGAAAATTCATAATGATAGACCATATCCTGGTACACAAAACAAATCTTCACAACTTCAAGTGAAATCACACAAACTATATTTTTGACTGCAACAGGATCAAATAAAAAATGAAAAATAACATTAAAAAGCAAAACACTTGGAAATTAAGTAACATATTTCTAAACAATCCATAAGCCAAAGACAAGGTCCCAGGGATATTTTAAAAATTGAAATAAATGAAAATAAATGTACTATATATAAAAATTGGTGGATATAGCTAAAGGAGCACTGAGAGGGTAATTTATATCACTAAAATAATCATATTGAAAAGGAAGAAAGGGCCAGGCATGGTGTCTCATGCCTATAATCCCAGCACATTGGGAGGCTGAGGCAGGCGGATTACATGAGGTCAGGAGTTCAAGGCCAGCCTGGCCAACATAGTAAAACCCTGCCTCTACTAAAAGTACAAAATTAGCCAAGGGTGGTGGTACATGCCTGTAGTCCCAGCTACCGGGAAGCTAAGGCAGAAGAATTGATTGAACCTGGGAGGTGGAGGTTGCAGTGAACCAAAATTGTGCCACTGCACTCCAGCCTAGGTGATGGAGCAAGACTCTGTCTCAAAAAA